GATGTGCACCACCATGCCCAGAAAAATCTAACTTTTTTTTTTTTTGGTGCCGGGAATTGAACCCAGGGCTTTGTGCATGCTAGGCAACACTCTACCACTGCCCCAGCCCCAATTTTTCTTTTTAAGTAAGGTGTGATTTTAACCAGAAGTAACTCAAACTTAGGCAGTGATTAAACCTAAATCAACCAAATTTGATTTCATAATAATTTTAAAAAGAAAAACAAATTACAGCCCTGAGCACAAAAGTAGGAACAGGAAGGGATGTCTTGAATTAAAACACAATGGAGAACTCAAAGCTCCTTCTCAAATACAATTCCAGAGGTGCAAATCTTCCCACCTTACAGAGTGAGAAACTGGCAGGAGGAAGGTTACAATCAGCTCTTGCCCAGGTCCCCAAATGTGACATTTCCTTTTCCAAATCTGAACTTTTGCAAATGCTACTCCCTCTATATTGGAATGCCCCTCTATTTTTCACTAGGCAAATTATCAACCCTTCTCCAAAACCCAGTTCAAATCTCCCTCTTTTAATAGCTCTGATAACCCATCAGAAAGTTAATTGCTTATTATTCAGTAACGCAGTTTATTCTTATTTTGTAACTTTTCTCTATGTTAGGTATCTGTTTTCCTTCTAGTAATAATTTTCAAGGAGTTAAGAATAGAAAATAGCTATATATAGGCATATGTGTGCATGTTTATGTAAAAAGAAAGCATACCAGATATGCTAATGCCTTGACTTTGAGACTCCTTCATGTACTTTAAAATTTCATATACAGCATTAAAGAAGGGCATGAGATTTATTTATTTACTTATTTGTTTGTTTATTTATGGTACCAGGGATTGAATTTAGGGGCACTCGACTACTGAGTTACATCCCCAGCCCTATTTTGAATTTTATTTAGAAATAGGGTCTCACTGAGTTGCTTAGCGCCTCACTAAATTGCTGAGGCTGGCTTTGATTTCGTGATCCTCCTGTCTCAGTCTCCCTAGCCACTGGGATTACAGATGTGTACACCGCGCCCAGCGAGATTTATTTTTTAAATCTAAATGGTGAAAGAGTTTTAAAAGCTTGAGAAACACTGAGTTAGACCCTTAGGTGCAAGGACTACATTTTGTTCATTTCTGTATTCCCAGTATCCAGCACAGGGTCAGGCACAAAGTTAAGTATGAGTTTGCTGAATGAATTAATATGCCCAAAGTCCACTGCTCTGGAATTAGAACATGCCAAAACAGAGCACGACCCAGGCACCAAACAAAGGTTCTTTATTTCTTTCTTTCCTTCCTTCCTTTCTATTCTTCTCCCAGTCCACCCCATTCTGTCCTCCTCAGTTGAGAGAGAGAGAGAAAGAGAAATTGCCTTGGTGCCAGAATACCATTAAAAGGATTAATTTAGGGACCGGTGTTTGGACTGTCACATCCAATCACTACCCACAGATCTACAGCTTCCCAAATCAGGCTCATGCAAAGAGGAATCAATTGCAAGGACACAGAGGGTCTGAACAGGCATACTAATGGCCTCCCGAGGTGCCAGCGGCCAGCTTTGACACTCCCATAAATTATCTGCCTTTTGATTTTACCTGTAGCTGTGGGGCACAAGGCACAATTTTGAACATATCAAAGCAATCTCTTGTAACCCAAGGCTCCCCAAGGAATGTCCCCAAAGGAGAAAAGGCTAAAAACAACAACCCAAAGGGAATCTGCTTCCCAACAGGTCTGGTCCTAGCAGTCATCAAACATTAAAACCCAAACGAACCAAAGAGATACAGTAGGACTCAAATGAAGCCTCAAAGATATGGACAAGGCATGTATCAGACTGCAGTTCTGCAATGACTACACATCTCCCACTCAAGGAAAGAGAAATCACAGCAATAAACAAACGCAATTTCATCTGGAGGCAAATGTGCGCTAGCTTTGACAGTAAGTCACAGTATGACTTTGGGCAACTCACTTAACCTTGATGGGCCTCAGTTTCCTCACATGGTAGCAAGGAAATGAATACTATCTGAAAAACTTCCTGCAGTGGTGGTAAAAGCAATCTAAAAAATTCAAGAGGCACTTTACAAAGATGCAGGGCCTCAAGGGTGACAATATCAATAAATGGCCCCAGACAAATAAGGAGGTATGATTAGTCACAGGTGAATTTACTGGGAAACTGCTCATTCAACTCACTTTACTGATGGTGTTGAGACTAAGGTCCATCCCCCCAAAAATTCTGGGATTCTGAATGGAACTCCTGCTGTGTACAAATTTTCCATTAGGCAGGACAGTGCCTTGCTTTTGTTGTAACTTCCTCCTATGTGCTGGCTCTCACCACCAGGGCTGTTTCTATCATTTGGACACAATGACAACTGTGCTGACTCTAAAGTATTTGTCAACTATTTCCTGCTTTAAAAAAAAAAAAAATCATTGTGTAAAATACTATTAGTAATAAAAATGTATCTAGGCACTGTGCTAACAGCTTTATATACATTACCAAAGCCTTTAACCAACCTATTAAGTCCTCTATCTCCATTTTACAGATAGGAAAGTGAAGCTCAGAGAGCTAAGTCACTTTTGCAAGGTCACATAAACACTACTATCAGAAGCCTATAGGTTGGGCCAAGTGCAGTGGCACATGCCTGTAATCCTAGCAACTCGGGAGGGTAAGACAGGAGGATTGCAAGTTCAAAGTCAGCCTCAGCAACTTAGCAAGGTCCGGTCTCAAAACACAAAACTTAAAAAAGAAAAAGGTGGGGGTGGGGCTGGGAGGTTAAACACCCATGGGTTCGATCCCAGTAACACCCTCCCCCCCCCAAAAAAAAAAAAGAAAAGAAAAGAAACCTACAGGTTTGGGGTGGAACCTACAAGCTTCCCTCTAGCAATGTGGAAGACAAAAGTCAAGAGCAAACACAGGGCTCTGTGCTATAATCTCATTAGACATTCAACAAATACTTTATTTGGTTCCTGTGCCTGACACATCATCATATCTGAACCAGGAAACAATTTCTAAAATTGGGAAAAGGTCATCAGTCTGCTGCAAGCAAGGAAAGGAGAGACTGAGTAGGACAGAAAGAGGACAATTCCCTAGAAAGCTTAGGAAAATGGGTCAGTTTCTGTGTGTATAGTTCAAGTAAGTTCAAAGCAACTGACATTAAGCCATGAACCCTAAAACCAATATCCCTTCCAGGGCTTTATTTATTCCATACTTCCTTCAATAGAAAATAGTTCCCAGAGCTGGGGGTTGTGGCTCAGTGGTAGAACACTTGCCTAGCATGTGCAAGGAGCTGGGTTCAATCCTCAGCACCACATAGAAATAAATAAATAAAATAAAGGTATTGTGTTCAGCTACAACTTAAAAAAAAAAAATTAGAAAAAGAAAATAGTTCCCAAAATCTTTGAATTCATTCTATATCAACTTTCCCTTCTTCTATCTACTCTAGTCTGTGAAATAGGAGCTGATATTATCAACACATTCCTTGACAGACATACTTTAAGCTACAGTGGATAACCAAGAAGTTAGTGAAGAGAACCAATATAACCATGAAAACAAAAATGCAGTTATACTTCATTGTAAGGACCAAAATACTTCCACAAAAGGGGAAATATAAAATGCTATCCATGTAACTGCCATAGCTTCCTTATTGGTCTGCTTCAAGTATTATCTGTCCCCTTCAATCCATTCTTCACACTGACATTAAAGCAAACTTTCTATAACACAAAACTAACATCACTCTATTACCTAAATCCTTTTAATGGCTTCCTACTATTCTTAAGGGACAGCAAACTAGAGTCCATATATTAAATACAGATGCCACCTGTTTTTATAAATAAAGTTTTATTGAAATACAGCCATGTTCACTCATTTTCAAACTGTCTATGGCTGCTTTCATACATAACTGCCAAGTTGTGTAAAGCAGCCACCACAAAGGATCAATATTTACTATCTTGTCCTTTACAGAAAAGATTTACCAGTTTCTAATCTTTTTCTACCCACCCACATAACTCCAGGTCTAATTCTAAGAGTTTATAAGGCTCTGCCATCAACTTATCTTTCCTGCCCCTGCGTACTAAGCACTGTTTAAATCACACTGGACTTTCTCAAACTCAACAAAGCTCTGACACTTGGCTCCTTGTGTTTTCATCTAAATCTAGGTGAAGTGTTACTTCCTCTAAGAAGCTGTTCCTGCATACATAAGTCTGGGTTAGGGACACTTCTGCACTCCCAAAGAACTTGCACTTCCTTTACTAGAGCACTCTCAGGTATAACTAACTGTCTCTTTACTATCTGTCTCTCCCATGAATTTTTAAGTTCTTTAGTGGCAGGGACAGTGGCTGTCTTGTTCACCATTACAATTCCAGAAACAAGCAAATTGCTTGGCCCTTAGTTATTACACAAACTGCCTCCAAGACCCTAGATAATAATCATCAGAGTCTGCCTTTTTAGCAAGCCCCTGATCCTGGCAAAATGGAGACAGGTTGGGACTAGCTATTCACTTAAAGCTATTCACACAACTCAAATTAAACCAATATCACAAAGGCTTTGGTCAAATACATTAAGAGTCAAAGGCTGGGCTGGAGTTGTGGCTCAGTGGTAGAGCACTTGCCTAGCATGTGTGAGGCACTGGGTTCGATTCTCAGCACCACATATAAATAAATGAATAAAATAACCAACATCTAAAAAAATATTAAAATAAAAGAATCAAATGTATGTGTTTCATCCTCTTGTATTAAGACATGTATTTCTCAGGATAAAGGACTATTCTAGCTCTATTCAACCATCCTGAAAGTAAAGGGTGTTTATGAGATGCCCATTAAAAAAATCATGAGAGAGCTCAAGAGTCTGAATCCCCAATTCCAATTCTCAATTTAAAGTCTTAGGGAAGTTTCCATAGGTTTTGAGCATATGCTGCCTAATAAAAGAAGCTACAGAAAATCAATCTGCACCAGTCCCACCCCCACCCCCACCAAGCCGAAATACTGATAAAGAAGTCAAGTCAAACTTGACCATGCAACAGGATTCTCACCTCTCCTTACTTCGAAGATGCCAAGACTGGCAGCTGGGGATGCTGAAGGTTCTGTGAGAGCTGGAAAGCCCCAATGCTGTGGACAAACACACATCTCTGCAACAAGTCTATTTCAACACAAAGGATCAAATCCCCACTAAGGATCATACTTCACCTCAAATTCCTAAACTCAAAACTTTGGGATAACAGCTATCTATGTAGAAAAACAGTTTCCTACAGAACTTCCAGAAGCTATTAGTACCATATTTGTTTTTGGAATGATGGATTTCATGTTCTCTAGTAATATCCTTTTCTTGGTAAGGAGACTTACTTCCTAGAAACATCAAATATTTACAATGTCTGAGCCTGGGCTGAGAAAGATGGACATGAAGTGGTGGCTCACTAGATAATTTCAGAATCCTATCTAGACAAGGAGATACTAGTAAGGCTGACAATATTCCAAACTCAGGAACTAAGGCTAGGTTAGGACTGAGGCAGGGGTTAGTTGCCACAAACCCACAGGCCATATTGCAAATGGCCACAAATACCAGGAAACACTTTCAGGATATTTCCAATTCTGCTTCAAGTTCTAAGAAAGTCAAAGTAACCAAACCCCAACTCAAACCATCAATGGACACCTATCCTATTTATCACCTAATTCAGATTTTCCAAAGAACCAGAAGTTGCATGATGATCCTATAAGCTAGTGATGTCCTTTACACAAAGAAGCACAAGTGGAACCAATACATTCCTGTCTACCATTATACACATTTAAGACTTCATTCTACTCAGGTCCTCCGGGAAAAGGCCACTCACTAACTTACCCCACCACAGAGAAAACACTTTTCAAAATGAAAGGGAATATAAGCACTTTTATTTAGAAATTTCAAGTTGGAGGAGGCACTCTTAGGCAAGCTCTATGACCTAGCTAGCTGATTATTTACAGGATCTTTGGGCAGGAATTGTTAATGAGCTTTTAATTTGGAGTGCTTAAGTTGCCAAAGTGCTCTGAGCTCCAGTGAAGCAACACAGAATCCATAAAGGAAACCTTATCAATCACTTACTGGCAGCTCCCTTCCCCCATTCTGCACCTCTTGCTGAAAGGCAGCCAAGTAGGTTTCTAACTAAGATCACAGACACACATTAGTGGAGTCACACTCCAAGTCCCTGTTTATAAATTGGCTTTTAAATGGTAGGGGATTCAGGTATAATATACTTAGGTTCCAAGAACGAACCCACTAAAACAAGGTATACTGTATATGATAAAGTCAGAATAAAGCAGAATTTGATGAAGTCAATTTCTGGTAACAACTCTACAATTGAAAACCAGGTCAGGCCCACACCTTTAATCCCAGCTACTTGGGAAGCTGAGGCAGGAGAATGGCAAGCTCAAGGTCAGATTGGGCAAATTTACCAAGACCCTATCTCAAAATAAAACTTAAAAAAAGGGCTGGGGATGTACCTCAGTGATAGAGCACTTGCTTACCAAATGGGAAGCCCTAGTTTCAATCCCCAGTACTACAAGTAAAAAAAAAAAAAAAAAAACACATCCAATCACAACCTACTATAATTAAAACAGAGAATAGTCTTTAGCCAATGAAATTCATGTTTTGCTGCCCTAATGCTGGGAAACTGATGAAATGTTGACAAGAGCAAATGCCATACCAGTGGTCAGAGACCTCTAGCAGAAAAACACAGTGGCCACTATTCGTTGCCAAATTCAGCCGTAGGAACAAATTCCACATACCTAGTGAGGGACCCCCACATCTAGTATCTTTCAAGTCAACAAGAAGCAACAACAAAAAATAAATAAATTTTAAAAGAAAGTTACATTTTGCAAGAACTCACAGTTATGCCTCAATCCAAATTAATGTTTTTTGTTTTTTTGTCTTAAGAAAACACCTGTTGCTGGCCCACTTGCAGGAAAGGCAAACAGAAAGGTAGCCAGGTTAGGCCCTGATTCACTCCTTCCATCGCTTCAAATTTACAGAGGTAAACTGCTAATTTTGTGTGCATGTGTCGGGAGGGGGAGAGGGGATATTCTCTCTCTACTATCTCCTTGCTGTTTCTAGCCTCTCTGGTCAAACCTCTCTAGTAATTCCAAGTAAGGAGTCAGCCCCCTTAATCAACTCACCCAATCTGTCTGGCAAAACCCAGCCCCGCTCCCCCTACACCAGAACGCTACTCAGTAGATCATGCATGGGGGTGAGCACACCGGCCAGCACCCCAAACTGCAGAAACTATACAAGCCACGACCCGCCACCCGCATGCATTAACCAGGGCCTAGGCTGGGGGAGGGGGCTCTCAGCATCACCCACCCCAGGGTGTTGCCCCCAACTCGGACCCATCCAAGTCCAGGGGAGCGTAAGGGGAGGGGCAGGGGGCCAGGAGACCAGCCCTCCTTCCCAGGGCCGCCCCCGCCCCCCATCAGCTGCGGGAGAGGCTGTCGCCATGGCAACGCCCCCTCCTCGGGGCCAGCGCGGCAGGCTTGCTCCAGGTGCAGGCCCCGACGTCTCCCTCGGCCTCAGCAGGCGCTCAGGGTAGTTGACGGCGGCGGGCGCGGCCCGCGCCGACAGCGGCGCCGGCCAGGCAGAGGCAGGGCCAGCTCCGCCTGCTCCCCACCGCCCGTTCCCGGCCGCCTCAACAGCGGCAGCCAGCACCACGAGTCCACAACACACCGACTCACCTCCGCGCACTCTGACCCCGACCGACGCGACGGATGGGCGGGCGCAGTGGCCAACCGCTGAGCCCGCCGTCGGCCCCTTTGACCAATGGGCTGCAGTGGGGCAGGGCTTCTTCTCCCCAAATGCTCGCTCTCCCGCCGACATGCGCGCTAAAGTATGTCAAGATGGTGACTGCCGGTGGCGGCCTTATGGGACTTGTAGTTTTGAAACTGCACGTACTCAGAAGAGAAGGGGAGGGTCACTTCTGAGCAGTGAAAGGGATTTTTTAAAAACTGAACACTTCCTCAGCCCTAGAGCGACTCAGGTGCCACACCTATTTTTTCCCCACTTTTCAATATACGCATAAGGTGAGTATAGGCTCATAAAATGACATTCTGTTTAGGTGACACTTTCTCCTGATTCATTCATTCAACAAGTAATTATTATCATCTACTTTTGAATGTGGGCCTAGGGGAGATCTGGGAGGAGGGTAGACAGATTAGGAAGAAAATGCTTAGATTTCTAAAGGGCATAGGGAGGAGGGAACTGACTTGTTCATGTCCCTTCAGAGGGAAGCTTCTGGGTTGAAAAGGCTTCTGGCTGCAGCTGTGGGAAGCTTCTACAATCTCTCCAATCACCCGGAGAGAACTCTTACCAAAGCCAGTTGCCTGGGAAGTTATGGGTTCCAGTTTATGAGTTGGGAAACCTCAGTCTTAAATAAGCAAATGATGATGTTGACAGCTTCCCAATCAGGGATCCAGCTATGAGCCAGCACCAACACCACCACATTCAACCAGCTTTAGTTACCAAGCTCCTCTGTCTCCATGTGTACATTTTCACTTAAAACGATGATGTCATTTCTGGACCACCTCTAAGATCTTAACATAAGGTTGTCACCTAAGCTGGAAATGTCTGGTAATCCCCATATCAGGGAATGTCTTCCTTAAATTCATCCACATAATGGGTTCAATGATTCTACTGTGTATTTCAGTATTAGTGTTTTTTTTTCCTTTCTCCATATTTTCCATTGGTGCATTATAATTGTACTTAATGATGGGATTAATTGTTACATATGCACACAATATAACAATATCATTTGGGCTGGGGTTGTGGCTCAGGAGTAGAGCACTCACCTGGCAAGTGCGAGGCCCTGGGTTCCAACCTCAGCACCACATAAATAAAAATAAATAAAATAAAAGTACTGTATCCAACTACAACTTAAAAATAAATATTAAAAAAGTTAAAAAAAAATATCATTTGGCCAATATCATCCCACAATATTTCTTCTTTGCCTCCCCTCTTTCCTCCACCTGGTCTCTTTCCTCTAATACTGATCTCCCTTCAGTTTTCATGAAATCTCCTCCTACCTTTCTTTTCCTTTTTCCTCATTAGCTCTCACATATGAAAGAAAACATATGATCCTTGACTTTCTAAGTTTGGCCTATTTTGCTTAACCTAACATTCTCAATTCGATCCATTTTCCTGCAAATGACATAATTTCATTCTTCTTTATGGCTGAATAAAACTCCATTGGATCAGTGTTATATAATTGTCTATTTCCTTGCATCTCTCCTCCAGGACTTTAAGCTCTTTTAGGATAGATGTTATTTCAGTGTTGTTCATGTTGCATCAATTATACCCAATACAGTGCCAATCACAAAGCAGGCATGCAATAAATGTTTGTGAATGAATGAGGGAATAAACAGCAATAGGGACAGGAGATGGAATGTAAATGTAAAAATAAAAATGTAAATATAAAAATAAGAGGCCATAAGTTGGCTTCTTTGGTCTCTGGCTTTGTTATATCCTAACTTTTGGCTTGAGAATATGACACAGGCAAACTTCTCAACTATGAGAATCAAGTACATTTACCCATCTGGATTGGAGACCTTCTTTAAGGCCCAGCCCAACATCCTAGAATGTGGTCTTTTCTTTTTGATGCTCTAGGACTCAACTGTACAACATCTAGGACCTCACCAGGCTGTAAACCCTTTCTGGACAAAGATAAGGCAAATGCATTCATTATTGCATATATATATATATATATATATATATATATATATATATATATGTGTGTGTGTGTGTGTGTGTGTGTGTGTGTGTATTCATTACTGCATATAACTGTTCTATTATTAAGAACAGTTGAAGAGTTCAATATATACTTGTTTCCTTGTACTGCTACTTAATGCCACATTTGGGTCTCTCAAACCTTGGCTCTATAGTATGCCATTTGGTTTCCTAGAAAACAGCCTGAGAAAAAGCTTATGTGCTTAGATTTAAATGGGAAGTATAAGCCCAAGGCAGCAAGAGTAAGGGGGAAAGAGAAGTGAGGCTGGAGAAATGGAATGACAATACAGGACAGTGTATTACCAAGTTAATGAGAGCTTCAAAGAATACAGCTAGTTACTCTTTGTATTCCAGATGTGCCTAGAGAAAGAGTCACACCTCAGGAAGAAACAAAGGGTTATATTACCCCACCATTTTGGTAGCCACAGGGGGCGCCAGATTCCACACCCTGGAGCATAGTGGTTCATCTGAAACTAGAAGTGATGGGAGGAGTCAAAGACTGGTTTGACCAAATGGGGCCTGCTGCAGTCCCACCACCACAGTGGACACATTGGAGACTGTGTCAAAACCTTACCCTCACTCCCAGGGGAGGCTAAGATAACCAGATGAGGTGATAGTGGCAGCTGGACTATTCAGTAAGCAAGTGGCCAAGACTCTGTGTCAGGGTGCAGATGGGGCAAGTGAATTTGGAGACACAGATAGTGAACTAAGTCCAGTACCCAGACTTAGGTATACCCTAGGCAATCTCTTGGCTTCTGAATCAAGTAACTGACTAAAGTGAACACTGAGAACAAGTTGCTTCTACTACCCTTCAAACCACCAGAGAAAACAGCAAGCCGACCAAAACCAGGACCTTAACTAGCAATTGAAGGGCAGTGAGTAGTAGTTCCCAAAACTTGGACCAGGGCTCCCACACTTGGCACAGTTAGGAAAACTCATACTGGGTCTGAAATCATTTTATCTGGGAACTAGAAAAATTGCTGCTGCCTTCATAGTCTCTCTATATAAGACAGGATGGTTGAGTTATAAACGTGGGCTGAGAAAGAGCCTATTCAGGTTTGAGTTCTGTTTCTGTGACCTTAGGCACATCACACACCTCTCTGAGATTCAGTTTTCTTCATCTCTAAGGTAGAGATAATGCTAGTACCTACCTGTTAACTACAATTAAATTACAGAAGTGTTTAGCACAATACTTGGCATAGAGTTCAGCAAATAGTAGTATTACTATTATTCTCACCCTTTCCTACCTCTATCTCCAGTGCCTCTTCCCACCATGACCTCCACCACACTATATTCTCCCTGTCATCTCTACCCCCTGGCATTATTCTGCTACTCGAGGAGCAGTGGGGTTGGACCTGGCCATACCTATTTCTCCCTGCTCTCACCAGGGCTGTTCCCCCTGAGCCTGGGTCGTTCATCTCCCTGGTGACCTGAATCTGAACTAAGAGACAAATGTGGGGTGGCTGAGGCCAGGGTGGTAATGTGCTCCCTTATCTTCGTGCCCCTCACTGGGGCCTAGTTAATTTTCCCTTTGATTTTA